AAATGACTTAATGCTGACAGAACTTCAAAGACTATTATATAATCTTGTGTGAGTTCACTTAAATATATTGCTTAATTAATTCTATCATTTTTTCACCTATTAATTTTCAAAGATGTAGTGCAGGAGGTGGGTGTATGTGTCCTGCCTTCCAGAGAGAACCAGTCAAGACAATAAAGAGAGGGGGAGACAGAGAGAGAGAGCAGCTGCACATGTGTGTAGTTGTGATGTTTATGACACATGTACATTATAACCGAATAATCTCCTCTGACAATTTAATGGTTTATTTTGTTAAGATAAATATTTTGGATTTCTTGAAATTCCACAGTTGAAATACAAATGACGTTATTTAGAGAAGTTAAACTTCAATATAGACTTGAGGGAAGAATCAAAAAATAAATGTAAATAATTCCAGTTCTAAAAATACGTTTAGATGCTTGTTTTTGAAATACCGTTGAAATGTAAATTAAAATGTTCTTGTATTTACACCTTGTTACAATAATATTTTCTAAATTAGAATAATCTTTTTTCTTTCATATTTTACGTTGAGCTTTCACAGGGGTAGAAAATTCTGACAGGGGTAAATGACCCCATCCACCCCCATCTGCTACCCCTGGGGCAGGGGATGGGGAAAGGTGAGGGCTGGGGGTTCCCAGGTGTCCGGTTTTCGACTGGAGTCCAGTTGCTGCAGTAACTGGCACCCACCACTGGGGGCGGGAAGAGCAGCAGGGCTGGGAGGGGACAGTCTGTGCCACGGGGTCACTGTCAGGGACAGAGATTCCCTCCGGCCTCAGCTGGGACCGGGCAGATTATCAGGGGAGCCGCGTTTGTACCCCCAGTGCTGTAACCAGGACTGAAATAAGGGCGGAGCGTCCCGGAGAAGGCTGCAGTGAAAGTGAAGAGATGGGACCTGTCAGTCACATTGTAAAATGAGACCTCGCCCGCCTCATAGTCCAGGAAAATCCCCACCCGGCTGGGCCTGACGCTCATGGGGAGTGGGGTTGAGGGGGAGGTGTGGGCCTCATATTCCCCATTCCACAGCCCCAGGACCCAGAGTCCATCCTCAGGTGTGTATGTGACCCACCCCTTCCTGCTCACAGATTCCCTACAAACCCCCAAGTCCCACTCAGTCTTGTCTCCCACCTCCACCTCCCAGTAACGCCTCCTGCCCGTGAACCTCTCAGTGCCCAGGACAGAGACACAATAATCAAATCTCTCAGGGTTGTTGGGCAGATCCTGGCGTGTGTCTCCGTGTCTCACACGTTTCCGATCCTCAGACAGGACGAGGTTGGGATGAGCCGTGTCTGGATCCAGAGTCACGTCCACTGGGGAGAGAGTCACAGAGTCAGGGCCGGGGACAGGGGCTGGTCACTGGGATCAAAGGGAAATTAACCTGCACCCCCCCGTTAATCACTGCGGGGGGGGGGTTGTTGCCTGAGGGGAGTCAGGGCCCGTCTGCCTGTGAGGAGACAATGAGGGGAAAGGGCAGGAGGAGCGGGGGAGGGTGGGAAGGGGTCAGTGGGGGTGGGGGAGGGGAAGGGACAAGTAGATGCTCGGAGAGGAAAGGGGAGGGGGAGGTAACAGGAGCAGAGGCGATAGAGGGAGGGGCAGAGGCGAGGGGCAGGCACAAGGGCAATGGGGGGCCAGAGGAGCAGGCACCAGGAGGGCAGAGGGGGGTGAAGGGAAGGGCAGGTTCCAGGGGGCTGCAGGGGGTGGGGGGAGGTGTGGGCTCCAGGGGAGGAGAGGGAACAGACCCCAGGGGACTGTGGGGGGTGAGGGGAGTGGGGGGTACCAGGGGGATGAAGGGGGGTGAAGGGAAGAGCAGGTTCCAGGGGGGTGAGGGGAGAGGTGGGCACAGGGGAGAAGGGGACAGACCCCAGGGGGCACATAGAAGCAAGGGAAGGCGCGGGGCAGAGGGGTGTGAGGGAATGGGGGGGAGCTCCAATGGGGCAGGGGGAATCAAGGGGAGGGACAGATGCCAGGGGATGGGGGGGATGAGGAGTGGGGCAGGTGCCAGGACCAGGGGGGGGGAGCAAATGGGCAGGCTCCAGGGGGACAGAGTGAGGCAGAAGCCTGGGGGCAGAGGGGCTGGCTATGGCAGGGACAGTGTCACCAGTAGGTGGAAGAGGGCAAGAGGAGGAGGGGCAGGTACCAGGGGGCTGCGGGGGATGAGGAGAGGAGCATGAGCCGAGGGCAGAGTGGGGTGATGGGAGGGGCGGGCCCTGGAGGGGGGCTAAGTAGGATGACAAGGGGCAGGTACCAGGGCTGTACAGCACGAGTGAGGGGTAGGATTGGTGCCAAGGGAAAGAGAGAGACAAGGAGAGGGGTGGGCACCAGGAGTCCAAAGGAGGGAGGTCAGGAGAGGGGGCAGGCACTGGGGGGACAGAGAGGGAATGTGCTTGCACCAGGGGACACGAGGGGTGAACAGAGGTGCAGGTGCTAGGGAGGCAGAGGGGGAGTAGAAGAAGGGGCTGGCACCAGGGGAAAAGGAGGGGGCAGGGGGAGACACAGGTGAGAAGGGGACAAAGAGGGGTGAGGGGTAGGTCAGGTGCCAGAGGGGTATGGTGGGCAAAGAGTGGGGGGAGCCCTGGGGGCAACAGGGCAGTGAGAGAAAGGGCAGTTATCAAGGAGGAGAGGGGCATGAAGGGTGGGTGCCAGGAGGACAGAGGCGGGAGGGAAGGGGTAGTCACCAGGAGGGATGGGGGGGATTGAGCAGAGGGGCAGATGGAAGGAGGGGAGAGAGGAGAGGGGCGGGCACCAGGGGGCAGAGTGGGGGCAAGGGAACAGATGAGCACAGGGGGGCAGAGAGAGCAGGGTGGAGAAGGGCAGGCCCTAGGGGGGTAGAGGGATGTGGAGATGTGGGCACCAGAGGGGCAGAGGGAGTGTGAGGGGAGAGGCGGGACCCAGAGGTTAGGAGAGGCTGAGGGGAGTGATGGGCATTAGTGGGGTAGAGATGGGGTGAGGGGAAGGGCAGAGACCAGGAGTCCAAAAGGGGGACGAGGGAAGGGACTTGCATCAGGCAGAGAGAGGGGGCATAGGAAAGGGCAGGCACCATGGAGTCAGATGGTGGCAATGGTAGAGATGGGCCTCAGGAGGGCAGAGGAGGAATGAACAGAGGGGCTGGCACGAAGGGATTGGCGGGATGAGAGGTCCAGGTGTCAGGGAGGCAGAGGGCAAAGGGCGGGAAAGGGGAAGAACTAAGTGGAAGGTTGCGGGTGTGTGTGTGTGTGTGCGAGGGAAGGGGCAGGCCCCAGGGCGTGGGAGGATGAGGGAAGCGGCTTGTGCTAAGGGTAAAGATAGGGGCCAGTGTGGGAGAAGGAAGGGGCAAGCACCGGATGGCAAAGTGGGGAAGAGACAAATGAGTTGGGGACAGTGGTGGGGCGTGGGATGGGGAAGGCACCAGGGGCAAATGGGCAGGGGGTGAGGGAAGGTGCGGTCGTCAGTGGGTGGGAGGGCATGGGAAGGGGTGGATGCCAGGGGGATAGAGGGATACAAAGGGAGGTGTGACAGCTGGGGGGCACAGGAGGGAGAGCAGAGGGGCAGGCAACAATGGGGCAGGGGGAGGGGCAAGTGCCAGGGGGACAGTGGTGTGGCATGGAATGGGGCAAGCAACAGCACCAACAAGGGGAAAGAGGAGGGGCAGGTATTGGGGGTAGAGGAGGGGCAGGGGAAGTGGTGGGCACCAGAAGGGCAGGGGAAGGGGCAGGTTCCGGGAGACCGAAGGGGGAAAAGGGAGGGGCAGACAAAAGGAAGGAAGGGGGTGGGGGAGGAGTGTGTGCCAGGAGAGTGGGGGTGAATGGAGGGGTGGGCACAAGAAAGACAGGGGGTGGGGCAAGTCATGGGTGATTGGGGAAGAGGGGCGTGAGGAAAGCGGGGTCAGTGGGGCAGAAGGGGTAGGCACCAGGGAGGAGAGAAGTGAGGGGAGGGGTAGGTGTCAGGGGCCACGGGGAGTGAGGGAAGGGGTTGGCACAAGGTGGGTGCGGGGGGGTAAGGGAAAGGGCAGGTGCCAGGGGAATTGAGGGGGTTGAGCAGAAGGGCAGGCACAGGGAGGCCAGAGGAGGGAGGGACAGGCACCAGGGGGCAGAGTGGGGGGGCAATGGGAGGGGTGGGCACCAGGGGGCAGAGAGGGGCGAGGAGAGAGGCAGGGCAGTTGGGTAGAGGGAGGTGTTAGGAGAGGGAATCGAGGAGGGGCAGGAGCCAGAATGTCAGAGGAGGGGTGGGCACAGGGGGGTGAGGGAAGGGGCGGGTGCCAGGGGTCAGACAGGGCTGAGGGGAGGAGAATGGCAGGAATCAGGATAGCAGAGGAGGGTGAGGGGTGGGGTGGCACCAGGGGAGAAGATGGGCAGCAGAGGGCGAAAGGGGAGAGGTGGATGCCAGGTGGTAGAAGGGGGGTGAAGTGATGGGTGGGCTCCAGGATGCAGAGGCTGTTTGGGGATGAGGGGCAGGTGCCAGAGGGCAAGGGGCAAAGGGGGAATCCAGTGGGGCAGAGGTGGGTGGAGGGCAGGGGTATGAGTCAGGGAGGCAAAGCGGGGGCAGAGGTGCCTAGGGGAGCAGAAAGGGGGTGAGAAGAAGGGGAGGTGCGAAGGGGAGAAGTGAGGATAGAGGCAGGGGCCAGGTGGGCACAGGATTGAGGAAAGGGTACGGGAGGGGCAGGAGCCAGAGAGGGGTGAGGAAGAGACAGGCCCCAGGGAGTCTCTGTTGCTTTCGGGCCATGTGTGGTTGGTTTGTCGCTAAGATCAGGTCTGTGCCGTCCCTACACACACTGGTCGGGCAGCCCTGCCCAAGGGAGTGAAGCTGGGACTCTTCCACCTTGCAGGCAGACAACCCCCTCCCCTCCCCTCTCCCGGCCCAGCCCCTCCCCCAGGGCACGGGCAGTGTGTCTGGGCTGGGCTCACTAGGAGGGGGCAGTGCAGTGGGGGATTCCGGGGCGGGGTAAATGAGAAATTATTTGACTGTTGCTCTTGAGTCCGGGACAATCGGGAAGGACAACCCTCCATCTGAGTTAAGCTCCACCGGGTGCTGCGCAGCACGTCTGCACTAGGGGCTTGCACCAGGGCAGCTTTATCACTGAATGAAAACCCTGGCAGGCACGACCTGAGACACTGCTGTGCCAGGGGCCGTAACCCCTCTCCTCACTGGGGTTATGGATCAATTACAGGGTCACTGGAGCAGGGGAGCTGGACTCTGGTGTGGAGGAAAAAGTTTGCTAGGGCCTAAACTTTAGTTTGCTGATAATGCTGATAAGAAAGTATGTATTTCATAATTGTGGTTTTATGCTATATAAGCTGTGTAAAATTCTGTAATCAGGGGGATTGCTAGTTCATTAGTACCCCCCATGCATGCATGAAAATAAAAAGGCCTCAGGCGATTCTGATCCAAACACAACGCGTGGTCATTTTTTCCACAACACTGGGATCCCAGGTGGGGGCCTGACCCCCTGGGCTGCAGAGTCATTCTCACTCCCACGCTCTGGCCCAGTGCCCATGGCAGTGTTTAGACACAGGGGAATGCCATCAGCAGGAGAGATTGTGGGAGCCCCACATCAGACACCCGGAGCCCAGCAGTTCCAGCCCTTATCTGAGGTGGGGAGACCCTCTGAGTTGGGGAGACCCACATTCCAATTCCTGCCCCACATCACACGGGGATGACTGAACCTGGGGCTCCCAGCTGAGGGCCCAACCACTGGGCTAAAGGCTAAAAGGGAAGTGCTGTGCATCAACTATGTCCCATAGTATCCTCCTGTGATGGATTAGGGCTAGATCTGTACAATTTATGAATTCTGCTTGATATTGTGAAGCTGAGTATTATGAATGTTATGAATGTCTCTCTACAAGTAGAACCAGTACTGCTGACAGGCCCTGGAACACATATGCACTCAACAGATGCATTAAGAAGGTGCTTAGGACTTAACGACCCTATTCAGGTGTAAACATCTGGGATAATGAGTGAGCTGCATCCTTAGAAAACCAGTTTAACTGACTCTAGGAGGGAGGGGGAGGGAAGGTAGGAGCATTGGAAAACTGTACCAGGAGGAGAACAAATAGGAGTCATAGAGGAAGAGAAAGCACTGGGCAGGAAAGAGCAAGGTTACAGAAGCTAGGTAAGGGGGCTCCAGCGAGAGAGGTCACTCAGCACCAGGGTTTGAATTGTGCCGGAACACTCCGGAACACCATTCTAGCACGTTTTTGAGGAGCTGGAATGGCATTTGGGTACTGCCAGTATCACTTAGCGGTGGAACTGGAAACATGTTCCAGTCCTTTTTTTTTTTTTAAAAAAGGATGGAAGTGCATTTTTTTTCTTTGCTGCTTCACAGCGGGTGGTGCCTTCTTTTATGTGTTTGCTCCCCCTGCTCCTAGAACCTGGCTATGCCACTGGTGGGCACAGTTTGTTTTACTTGTGTCAGTGAGTTTCACAATCTGGTTATAAAAACATCTGCCTCTGCACTGGAGACAGGGCCTTCCTCACCCCACATCCATAGAGACACTGAACAGATCTTATCCCTTCAGAGTATTGTAGAAGGAAATTGCAGGTTAAAGACCTGTATGAGCATGAAAACCCTGCTGTTGGGAGGGGAGATTTGAGCAGTTTAACACCTATTAAGGTGAGCTGAGATAATGTGTATCAGGCACAACCCAGATACCATACTGGGAAGGTGAAGCCGAGGGGAAATGGTCTCTCATTATTCAGCACTTTTCCAAAGCAAAGGAGCAGAGAGCGCTCAGGGGCTGGCGGGGTTTTGACAGATCACATTTCAGCAGAGTTTACAGCACAGTTAGCCCGACAATATGCAGGTTTCTCCCAACCTGAAATCAAGCAAATAGAGAGCGATGAGAACTGCCCTGAACACAGACTTTCTGAATAAAAAACAATCTCTAACAACGTTTATGATAAGAGAAACATATATTTCTGTAGGATAACTATTAATAAAAATGCAAATTTATTTACCTGCATTTAGTAGGGTTCTTCTCCACTCTGAAACCAAACCGAGACAGAGAGATGAGACCTCCCCTGCACACAGACACTCCGAATACGAGACAATTTTGTAGCAAGGTTTATATTAGGAATAAAAGACAACTTACTGAGTTCACCCTGCAGTTTCTCTAAAAGTAAAGCAAAGAGAAATGAGTAAACATATGATAAAAGAAAAAGGAGGCTATTCAATAAGATCCCACACCACACAAACCAAACTGACTCTCAGTTCATAGTGAGCGCTCTGAATACCTGCCCTGGGAGTCTACGAAACTTGTTGTAAAGTTTGAGATTCCCCCTCCCCTCCCCATTGCAATGAACAAAGGGACCTTTCTCTGCAGGATGCGCTGCTGCAAGTGAATAACAGGAGAGATGTGTTACAAGGTAGAAGACTTATCTTCAATTATTGCAAACTCATAGGAGTTGGGGCCCGGTCCGCAGCCGCTGGCCAGTCCGAAATCGGGGGCCGGCCCGGAGTCAGGGGCCGGTCCGGAGCCGACCCGGAGTCGGGGCCGCTGGCCGGGCCAAAGTCGGGAGCCGGCCCGGAACCGTGGGCCAGCCCGGAGTCAGGGCCGGGGGCTGCAGCCGAGGGCCGGCCCAGAGCTGCTGGCCGGCCCGAAGGCGGGGGCCGACCCAGAGCCGGGGCCGGGGGCTGGCCCGGAGCCGCACCGCCCGGCCGGAGTCAGGGCCGGGGCCGCCCAGAGCCGCGCCTGGAGCCCTCCTCGTGCCCCCCACCCCAGCTCACCTGTAGGAAGCTGCTACTTCCTTCTCAGCCCTCCCAGGCTTCCCGTGGGAAGCTGATTCGTGGGAAGCCGGGAGGGGGAGCCTTCAGGGGAGGAGGCAGAGGCGGAGCCGGAGCCAGGTGAGCAGAGGCAGGGGGCAGGGCAAGGAGCTGCTGGAGCTTTTGTTAAATTTAAAAGCCCTTTTAGAACCGGTTGTCCCGGTTCTAAAAGGGCTTCCAAATTTAACAACCGGTTCCCGCGAACTGGTGCGAACCGGTTCCAGCTCACCACTGGGGAGGCCCCACACTGAACTCTATGGCATTTCTGTCTGTCTGTAATGGGATAACATTTGAAAACCACGTCCCATCAGCTCCAGCGTTTCAGGGCGTGCTCTAGGCATCAGTGGGCAGAAACCTCCTGATGTTGGTGAAAACCGGAGAACTGTAAAAGCCTGATTTCCACTAAACTCACCATTTGATCCCTCAGGACACAGGGTGAGGCAGTGACCTCAGGGTTAGGGTTTAAGCTGTGGGTGAGGTTAGAGTTAGGGTCAGCAGGCCCCTCACCCCACTCCAGTCACCCCTCCCCAGCTGGGCTTCTTGCCCAGTGTCAGCCGGACACCCAGCTGGTCTCCTCACCCCCGTATTCCAGCCAGGCCGTCCTCATCTGCGCTCTGGTCTGAACTCTATTGATTTGGGTGACAATGAGAAAAGCCTGATTTTAGTGGAAATTAGTTTTTCCAGTTTTCTGCTTTTCACCAACCTCGATAAGGTTATGGCAGAGTGGGGAGAAGAGGGACCCAGTTGAAGGGGGATGGAGAGGGGGAGGAGCCCAGCCGGGATAACTACTGGGCCTATGTAATCAACAAAATGTGCTACCCTCTTGTTAAAGATTTGCCACATAATTATGCTCCGGGACCTAAACTCTCAGGGTGAGATTCTGTGCTCAGAACCTGCAGCCCAGGAGCATGTGAGGGCTCAGGCAAGTTTAAGCCCTGCCCCGTATCCTCCTGATCTTGGGTGCTCTGGATGCCAAATCAACTCCCGCAGTAATGCAGGGCTTGTCTGCATGGGAAGGTTACACCAGTACAAGGTAAGGTGGCAATTTAAACCGCTCTTGTTACACCGGTATAACGCTCCATGTCACACACACATTCCATAAGAAGAGTGAGTTTTTCTGGCTTAGTTTATGTAATATCTGAAGCTGCTCCCGGCTGGCAGGGGAGCACAGCAAACTCGCAGAGGCGAGACATCAGGAGCTGCTGCTCTCCTGCCCTCCCCTTACGCAGCCCAGGCGGGGAAAGTGACCTGGGATGCAGGGAACCCTGACATCGCTCCTCGATCCCCCCCACACACACACAGCCCCTAGGGGTGCGCAGAGGAGCAGTGTTCAAGGGTGGGAGGGAGCAGCAATGCCAGATGCTCCGTGCATTCAGGTCACTTTTCCCACATGCGCGCAGGAAGAGGGTGCAGGGGTTAGGGACACAGGACGGAGGCAGGGGTTAGGAGCGCAGGAGGTGTGGAGTGAAGGGATTAGGGACATGGGGGGCTGGGGTTGGAGTGGAGGGGGCACAGTGCAGGGGTTGGAGTGAAGGGGGAGCCCGTGGGGGCCAGGATCACTGGGGGGCACCCACAGGGAACAGGGAAATGGGGGGAGCAGTGTGCCCACGGGGGCCAGGGGCACCAAAATACAAGTCCACCCAGGGCACCATTTTCCTTAAGGCCCAGCCCTTGCACTGTGGTCCCGCCCTGACGCACCCCTCTTGTTCCCAGTCCCATCTCACATATGTCCCCTACAATAGGGCTTGTGAGGGGGTCCTCAAAGGGCAGCCTGCAGCTGTTTTATGCCCTGCCTGCAGTGGAGGAATCTGCCCCCAGCTGGATCCAGGTTTTCAGGAGCCCTGTTACGCTGCTCTGGTCCTTTTACTGAACATAACACGGTTGAGAGGGGGGTGAAAAATCTCATCCTCCATATATTAAAATGTGTCCAGCCTTTCTGGGTATAAAGGTGACATTGATCAAGTGACCTGGGTGTAAGCAGTGCTCCAGCCCAGTGAGATCTGCCTGAGTCTGCAGGCAGCGCTGTTTGCTGCTCACACTCAGCACAGTGGGGTTGGGAGGCTGACACTAAAGCCTGATCCATGACAATTTAATTGTCACCATTTGCAGTTATCTCACTGCTGATCATTTTAACAGAAACATCCAGCTTGTGTGCTTCTCCCTCACAGCTGGATAAGGACAGGTACTAGGGAGTGCGGCAGTGGGGCAATGGCAGAGGGCAGTGGGGCAGCTACCTGTCATCAAAGGTTGCCGGGGTGAGGAACAGTGAATACAGGCCCCTCCCTCCTCTATCCAAATACAGTTTGACCTCTGTGCCTGCTAAAACGGGGAGGGGAGAGAGGAGATACATTCTCCCTCCATTCCCTCAAGTATGAAATGCCTCCTGGTCCTGGATACCAGAACACACACACACACACAGAGCACATGGTCACTGAGGGTGAAATCCCACCCCTTCCCTTTTTACATGGCTGTGGAAGGGGGGATCCCATGTGAGGGAGTCTGTTAAATACTGGACAAGTCTCAGTCCCCAGCAATGACTCTGGCCTGGCCGGGCTAGGGTGACTCAGGCCTGGGCTCAGGGTGCTGTGTCTGTAATTTCCAAGGGGTTTTAGGACAATTGGCCCCTTCCCCTTCAGAGCCCGTCTGTGTCAGCGCGAGCAGCCCTGAGCTCACTGCTTGGGCTCTGGTGCTGATACGAAGACATTCCCCATCACCCGTTCAAACACCAGCACGTTATTTGTAATTGTTCCATCCCACGTGAGTTTTGCACTTTCTCCAGCTCACACATTTACTCTCCCTCTCCCCTCCCTCCCCATTGGAATCATCTCTGTGCAAATACCTTCCCCCCCAACGCCTGCTGAAGGGAGGGGCTCTGCCAGGGGTGAAAGTAACATAGAAGACTTACTGGTATGGGGGCCCATCTCGGGTCCCCCGGAAGGGGCAGGGCCTCGGGTGGAAGGGGCGGGGCTGGGGGCTCAGCCTCTCCCCGCCATCCCATACGCGCTCCCTGGCCCGCACCACACGGGGCTCCGGCGGTGATTTAAAAGGGCCTAGGGCTCTGGCCACAGTAGCGGCGGCAGCAGCCGGGAGCCCCAGGCCCTTTTAAATCACCAGGCCCTGGGGCAGTTGCCCCTTTTACCCCCATTCCCCCCTGTCGGCAGCCCTGCCGGTAGGGTCCGGCAGGACCGCCAATGGGGGGGACAAAAGGGGCAGCAATGTTAAAGCACTGCCGCGACAGCACTTTAACGTTGGCTGCATACGGGCCGGTACCAGTGGCCACTTCTTCCCGGTACGCCGTACCAGCCCGTACCAGCCTACTTTCACCCATGGGGTTTGCTGATTTCTCACCCATCCCCGCTCCCCATTGCTCTGTAGTGTCGCTGCTGGAGGCCCTGCAGCCCACGCAGCTCCGTATCCGCAGCCTGAGCCAGCATTGCCCATGGGCCCTCCAGGCACAGCCGGGTCCCCAGGGGTGAGGGAGGGAATCCCCAGCTGTGACGATCTTTACATTGAGTCCCAGCCTTCCTTTGGCTTCATTCCAAATGTCTCCCCTGCCCGGCACTCTCTAGTTTACTGACCTGCCACATTTTTGGGAAACATTCTCATATAACCCTTAACCCACCCCATTGGCCCCAGACACTGACCTTTCTTGCTCTCCAGTTCAGATCGCAGCGTCTCTAGGGGGAGAAAAGGGGGAGAGTTGTTTACTTGTTTACTGACATCTAGTTTGATGACATCCTCATCATGTGGACCCATGGGAAGGAGGCCCTTGAGGAATTCCACCAGGATTTCAAAAATTTCCACCCCACCATCAACCTCAGCCTTGATCAGTCCACACAAGAGATCCACTTCCTAGACACTACAGTGCAAATAAGCGATGGTCACATAAACACCACCCTATACCGGAAACCTACTGACCGCTATACTTACCTACATGCCTCCATCTTTCATCCAGACCACATCACACGATCCATTGTCTACAGCCAAGCTCTAAGATACAACTACATTTGCTCCAATCCCTCAGACAAAGACAAACACCTACAGGATCTCTATCAAGCATTCTTAAAACTACAATACCCACCTGGTGAAGTGAAGAAACAGATTGACAGAGCCAGAAGGGTACCCAGAAGTCACCTACTACAGGACAGGCCCAACAAAGAAAGTAACAGAACGCCACTAGCCGTCACCTACAGCCCCCAACTAAAATCTCTCCAGCGCATCATCAAGGATCTACAGCCTATCCTGAAGGACGATCCCTCACTCTTACATATCTTGGGAGACAGACCAGTCCTCGCTTATAGACAGCCCCCCAACCTGAAGCAAATACTCACCAGCAACCACACACCACACAACAAAAACACTAACCCAGGAACCTATCCTTGCAACAACGCCTGTTGCCATCTCTGTCCACATATCTATTCAAGGGACACCATCATAGGACCTAATCACATCAGCCACGCCATCAGAGGCTCGTTCAACTGCACATCTACCAATGTGATATATGCCATCATGTGCCAGCAATGCCCCTCTGCCATGTACATTGGCCAACCAGTTTTGCACTCACCTTATAGTAGCTCCATGTAGGTTGCATTTTCCTAGTTTGTTTATGAGTCAAGATATACCACGTCTACCACTTCCCCCCATCCACAAGGCTTGTTACCCTATCAAAGAAAGCTATCAAGTTGATTTGACACAATTTGTTCTTGACAAATTCATGCTGACTGTTTCTTATCACTTTATTATCTTCTAGATGTTTGCAAATTGATAGCTTAATTATTTGCTCCATTATCTTTCCGGGTACAGAAGTTAGGCTGACTGGTCTGTAATTCCCCGGGTTGTCCTTATTTCACTTTTTATAGGCCTTGTTTACACTGGCAAGTTTCTGCGCAGTAAAGCAGCTTTCTGCGGTGTAACTCCCGAGGTGTAGACACTGCCAAGCCACTGTGTGCGCAGAAACTCCTCAGTTGCAGCGTTGCAAAAAAACCACCTCGATGAGAGTCGTCAGCCTTAAAGCGCAGAGACTCCAGCACTGTATTGGCAGTGTAAACACATTACAGCACAGAAAGCAATCAATTGTGGTGCAGAGAGCTGGGGAGGGAGGCGGGGGATGATGTCTGGGTTTCCCCCTCCCCCGCCACAGGACTGGTTGCTTGCTGCCACTGTCTGAACTTACAAGACAGCATGCTGACCAGGGCCGGCTCTAGGTTTTTTGCTGTCCCAAGCAAAAAAAATTTTGGCTGCCTCCCACCCCAGCCCTGGGCTCTCCCCCAACTGCACCCTCCTGCCGCCCCAGCCCTGGGTCACTGGTAACTCACTCCCAGGGCGGGTCATTCAGCAGGAATTTTGGATGTGCACAGAACACAGACAAGATTGGTTCCCATATGGTTACAGAGCTGCAGTAAAGTGGAACAATTTTCAGCTTGTGTGATTGGAGGATATCTAGATGCATATTATAAGACTGCCCTACATAAATGAGGAAAAGTTGAGGTGCCTTTAATATTCTTTTGTTCCATTCTTTGTTTCTATGGGGAATTTGCCAATGCAATATCAAGGTCTTCCTTTTAAACAAATAAAACTAAAACTAAAACTAAAAAAAAAAGCAATGCCTGTTGAAAATAGCAATTCCAGTCCTAATAACCACTGGGAAGCATTTCTTGCTCAATTTATTCTACTTTTTCTACAGCAAGTTACAGTGGATCAGTATATTTGATTTGGGAGAAATGAAGTAACAGCTGCCCAAATTGAGCTTGAGCACTCCTGAATTTTGAGGGTGTTCAAATCTGGAAAAGAAAAGTCAATTTCTGCTTCCATGGCTCAGAAGTGGAAATCCTCCTACGTGCCTGGTACTGTATCTAAAACTGCCCAGTCTAGTAGATTTCAAAGTAGCAGCCATGTTAGTCTGTATCCGCAAAAAGAACAGGAGTACTTGTGGCACCTTTGGGTACGTCTATACTTACTTCCTGGTCCGGATGTAAGCGATCGATCTTCTGGGATCGATTTATCGCGTCTTGTCTAGAAACGATAAATCGATCCCGGATCGATCCCGGAAGTGCTTGCCGTCGACGCCGGTACTCCAGCTCGGCGAGAGGAGTACGCGGCATTGACGGGGGAGCCTGCCTGCAGCGTCTGGACCCGCGGTAAGTTCGGACTAAGGTACTTCGAATTCAGCTACGTTATTAACGTAGCTGAATTTGCGTACCTTAGTCCGAAGTGGGGGGTTAGTGTGGACCAGGCCTTAGAGACTAACACATTTATTTCAGCATAAGCTTTCCTGGGCTACAGCCCACTTCTTCGGATGCATAGAATGGAACACACAGACAGAAGATATTTATACATACAGAGAACATGAAAAGGTGGAAGTACGCATACCAACTGTAAGAGGCCAATCAATTGAGATGAGCTATCAGCAGCAGAGGAAAAAAACCCTTTGAAGTGATAATCGAGATGACCCATAGAAGGTGTGAGGAGAACTTAACATGGGGAAAAAAATTCAATTAGTGTAATGACCCAACCATTCCCAGTCTCTGTTTAAACCTAAGTTAATTGTATCTAATTTGCATATTAATTCGAGTTCAGCAGTCTCTCTCTGGAGTCTGGTTTTGAAGTTTTTTTGTTGCAAGATTGTCACCTTCAAGTCTGTCACTGAGTGATTAGAGAGGTTGAAGTGTTCACCCACTGGTCTTTGAATGTTATGATTCCTGATGTCAGATTTGTGTCCATTTATTCTTTTGCGTAGAGACTGTATGGTTTGGCCAATGTACATGGCAGAGGGGCATTGCTGGCACAGTGTAGATCTGGCTTATGTGTTTCTTTTTGTGAGATTACATTATAAGTGCAATGTACTGAGACATGCGTCTGACGAAGTGGGCATTCACCCACGAAAGCTTATGCTCCAATACATCTGTTAGTCTTAAAGGTGCCACAGGACTCTCTGTTGCTTTTTACAGATCCGGACTAACACGGCTACCCCTCTGATCCTCAAAAGCAAATACTTTCTAAAACTAAAACAAAATGTAGCCTCTTCTTTTGCAATGTTCTTCAGGAGGCAGCAAACACTTTTCATTGTTGTTCAGTGGGGGATGGGGCTGCCCCTTGCCCAGCCTGGGGAAGGAGTGGTGACTGCGGGGGGAGAGGGGACAGGGTGTCACGACACTCACCAAAGCCCCAGCTGCTCAGGTCCAGGAAGCCGCCTCACCTCCCTTGTGGTGGGTTCCGGAGGTGGGGGGTTTCCGTCATGTGTGCGCCTCCTCCCCTGCCGCTGCCCCTCACCGTAGCCTCACAGGGTGGGGGCAGTAGCGTAGCTAGCAGGGTGCAGGGGAAGCAGCCGCTTCCCCTCACCCCTTTCCCAAAAGCGGCGCCTGCTGGGCCGGTGGCAGCACTGCCGGAGGAGCCATGGGGGGGACGGCAGGCGCGGCCAGAGGAGAGAGGGGGCTGGCTCCTCAGCCATCGCGCCCCACGCGACCCCAACATCGCTGCAGGCGCAGCCACCTCCTGCGGCGGCTCAGGGCTCGGCGGCCAACCGCTCCCCGCCCGGAACCGGAGCCGGGATCGGCCCGCGGTACGGGGCCAGGATCGGCTGGGGACAGGCAGTGGCACAGGACGGCCGGGCCAGCGCTGGGGGCAGCACGGCTGGAGGAGCGATGGGGGGGGGGGCAGCAGGCGCGGCCGGAGGAGCGAGGGGGGGAGCGGCAGGCGCGGCCGGAGGAGAGAGAGGGCTGGCTACTCAGCCATCGCGCCCCACGTGGCCCCAACATCGCCGCAGGCGCAGCCACCTCCTGCGGCGGCTCTGGGCTCGGAGGCCAAGCGCTCCCCGCCCGGAGCCGGGGCCGGGATACGCCCGCGGCGCGGGACCGGGATCGGCCGGGGACAGGCGGCGGCGCAGGACAGAACGTAAGCGGCGGGGATCCGGTGCCTTGCACTGGGGGGTCCCCTCCGGGTGAGGGGCTCCCCGGGGCCGGGCCCGCAGGGCAGGGGTGCAGGCCACGCTGTCTGGACGGGGGGCCCTGGCGCGGCGCAGGAGCCTGGAGCCCCAGGCAGGGGGGACGGGACCCCGCGGGTGGGGCCGGGCGGCGCAGCCTGGCAGGGGACACCTGCCGAGCGGGCTGGGCAGGAGAAACTCTCCTGTGACCGCGGGGGGACGGGGGTATCTGCACCCCCGGGAAGCCCGCAGGAGTCCTGAGACAGGCCCCGGGGTTAATCTGGGGGGGAAATGGGAGGAGCCAAAGGGGGGCATGGCCAGAGGAGGAGTCAAGGGGGAGCGCCTTTTTTCTGTTTGCTCCCCCTACACTTAGACCCTGGCTACGCCACTGGGTGGGGGATGGGGCTGCCCCTTGCCAAGCCTGGGGCAGGAGT